ATTCTCGAGAATATAGATGCCCCGGCGCGGCTTTTTCTCAAGAATCTATGAGTTTTCTTCAGCCCTTGACCTTGGTTGACCTCGAGTCTCAAGATATTCTTGAATATTCTCGCCGTTACATCGCGGCGTCTAGAACGGTCTTGACTAGAGCTTCTCGAAACAGCTCTTTTGCCCCCTCAAAAGTAGGTTTTGGGTCGATGCAGACGGAAATCTTTAAGTTTTGGACGTTCCTGAGCGGTTTGGGAGCACAAACCTCTACTTTAGAGCGATTTTTGGCGTCCGCTGACCTCTCGCGTGGTGAAAATATTCTCAATATTCGAGAATATTCTCGAGAATATAGATGGTCTGGCGAGAATATAAGCAAAAGAATATAGATAGTACTTGGCGAGAAAAACGTGCTTAGGCTAAACGCGGGCGAGGGCGGAGCAGCCACAGAAGACTTGGTGGCCGATGGAGGTGAGGCCGGCGGGAAAGGTGGCCGATGGAAAAGAATTCTAGCCCCCGCTGGGAAATCTTCGGAAATTTTTGCCCGGCCGCGCGCAGCGCTAATCGGGCGTCCTTTGCTCCTCCGCGAGCTGTATAGGGGCGCAAAATCTACGCAGAAGATGCGGTCGAAGATGCAGTTTACCTCTTTCGAATGGCGGCAGCGCCGGCGCGCAGCGCCACGCCGCCAGGCGTCCGCCGGAGGCTCCCCGGCCGACACATCTCGGCAAGCTTGCCGCGCGCAGCGCCCCGCGCCGCAGGCCCGCCGGAGGCTCCCCGGCCGACACACCCCGGCTGCTTCCGCGGGCGCGCGAGCGCCGGCGCGCCGCGCCACGCCGCTAGGCGTCCGCCGGAGGCCCGCCGGAGGCTGTTGCTGCGGCCACACTCCGGCAAGCTTGCCGCGCGCAGCGCCCCGCGCCGCAGGCCCGCCGGAGGCTCCCCGGCCGACACACCCCGGCCGTATTCGCTCGTCCACTCCTCGCCCTTCTCGCGCCGCTCTTGCGCACCTCTTGCGCCCCCCTCTTCCCCGCCGGCCCCGAGAGACTTGGCACGCACTCCCCGGCGATTAAATTTATCTCTTGACAACAATACCAATTCATTGCTTGGTACCGATTTATTACGCTACGAAGTATAACAAAATCTTTTTAAGCATGCTATTTCGACGGTTGACGTTTGTTTTTGAGATATGTTACTAACCAAACAGCATGTAGTTTCTGTTGATCAAATTCGGTTAATTCTACCCGATTTAATTGTACATGTTGGTAGAGTTTTTTTACATTCTCAATTATGAAATAAAAATTTAACTTGATGGCAGAAAACTACTCCAAAGTTGAAATACTTATCTTCAGACCCTTT